ACACACACACACACACACACACACACACACACACACACACACACACACACACAAAATGTCAGAAAAGCCAACACATTCTTGTCAAAAACCTTCACAAGTGCTGGCATTCTACAAAAAATCTGATTTTAAGATTAAAAGTGAAACAACTGTTGTGATAAAGAAAGAAAAGGACAATCTCACTATTGTTCTGAGAGATGTTGAAATCCACTCGCATCTCTGGCACCCTGCTGCCTGGGAAGTTTACCACACAGCTGTAGGTGGCCAGGTCCCTGAACTTCATATCCATGATCTCTAAGCTGCTGGTCCCGGGCGCCATGTCTGGGTCACTGCGCAGTAACATCAGGTTGTCCGAGCTGAAGACTGTTGCACCATTCTTGTACCAAGTGTAGTTGACTTTGTCTTGCGGGATAGCATCAACGTGACACGACAACTTGAGGTCACGTCCCATCTGGATGGTCTCACTGTCCTTGTTAGAGTCAGGTGTAATTTGGAAGGTCAGGTTGCTCATGGCTGCATGTTGGATAACAATGTAAAGAAAGGTGAGTTAAATAAAAAAATATAAGGATAAATAAATAAAAACAGGTTTTATTACAGTTTTATTTTACAAAAAAAAACAGATATATCAACTTAACAGTTGGAGATTTTATGTTGGTAAAATGTTCACTGTATGTTTTCGTGTTAAGATCCTTTCCCTTTTTTTAACTCATTTTCTGTATCTGGTGGAGAATATACAAACTAATAAAATTAAAACTATCACATCAAATGCAGACAAATTTACTGTCTCACCAAAATGTTTACAAGTTTTGGTTTTGAGTTTATTTTACACTGAATAAAATGTAACCATGTTTTAATAATGTGTGACTATGGAATCAGTTTTGTTGTTCTCTGCAGGGTTCTTGTTATCAAATGTTACAGGTTCCACTTCCTGTCTGCTGGTCTGAATAGGAAAGTTTTATTTTTATCACAACGCCTACCCCCACCTTTCATTTTTAACGATGAGTAAAAAGGGATTTAAAAAAATACATAAACACAAATTTTTTTGTTGTTTTTTACTTTCACTCTTCAAAAGTGCCAAATATTTTTAAGGGCTAATATGTTACAATTAACCCTTAAAAATTACAAAATTTATCTTTAATCTTCACAAAACATCGTCCCCATGTGGACGGCGCCCAAGGAAGCAAAAATGCGAACAAATGGATAGAAGTGGACATAAATTGTACTAGGTGCTACTATATATATATA